ACTTACATCTAATAATTACAATAATACTTATATAATAATAAAAAAATGAGTTTTAATCTATCTACAACTAAAATAACTTTTTTCATTTTATTTTATATCAAAACAAATTTAATTATTAATTACTAAAGAATAAGTGCCTAAATTTAAATAGGGACAATGCTTGTTCTTTACTACTCAACTTTTATTATAATTAATTCAAAATAAGTACTATCTCAATTTTTTTAACAATTTATGTTCCCAGTTTTGAAACATTTTCTAAATATTTTATTTTTCAAAACGTATGGTATTGTTATATTTCACAGGTATATGATATACCAAGTACATACGTAACTACCTATTGTATCAACTAAATAAATAATTTTTTGAATAATAGTACCATACAATTATTTTGGTTTTATCATCACGACATATCCACATCCACATTTATGTTACTGAGTTTTGTTTATCAGGAAATATACATACATTATTTAGAACAAAAAAGTTCCATGTAAAAAAAAAAAAAACATTAACAATCAGGTCTGTAGAACTTTCTGTTTCTTTACGGAAATTTTTCACACCATCTTTTTTTTTTACGTTTAGTTTTGCTTAAAACAAAATGCGAATTTCAAGATCACAAAAACAGAACAGAACAGATACAGATTTGGTTATTTTTATATTTTACCTTTTTCATTCAATTTGAAGTTTTAAATTGCTCTCTTGAACAATTTAATACTTTTAAATAGAACGTTTTAATTCTGAGCCCTTGAGATTCACAATGATCAAAAGTATAGTTTTGGGTTTTTGTTTGGAAGCACTGTAGCTTACGTAGTACATAATCATTATACGAGAATATAGTACATAGTTGAATCTTAATTGTATCTACCACTCATCAGTTGAACTATTTAAAAACGCCTCATGACATGGTCGAAGAACCACGAAAAATGAACCACAACTCTTCTGCATCATAGTTATAAAACATGGTTGACAAAATAAGCTACATCTCCAATGTTTCTATAGCAACTAAGAACAATGAGGAAAGAAAAAACAAAACATGATTATTATTTTTTCTTTAGAAATATCCTATTATTTTTCAGGTATAAAAAAATATATTATATCTACATAAAATGTAAAAGTATAAAATGTGTACAGAAAAAAAACCACCTTCTGAATGAATTGATAAAACGTAAGCTCAAAGGTTTTTCCCATTTATTTTATAGAATTGAACAATACTTATCTGATTCATCCGGCAATATTTTATCGTATTTTCTCTGTTCCATACWACAATACATATATTATATTAACTTATGTAAGTATATTATTTAAACAGTATGTTCAGGTAATCTTTTACATAATAGAATATGGGCTTTATTAATCTAAAAATGTATTATTGTTCAGTGCTCATACTTATGTAACGTTTTAATAAATACACTTTGGTGATAAAAATAAATTTGCATTCATTGGATATATTATTACATTGTATATTTTATTATTATATGTAACAAATGTAACAAAAATATAAATAAATAAATAAATAATAATTAAAGTGTTATATTATGAAAATATATTCACAAATTAAACATACCATAATATAACAAAATCAATTTTGTTGTAATTCAAATACGAATAACCATAAATACTCTAAATATTTATAAAAAAAATTTTAAACATGATAAAATATTCCGAATATTTTGGTTGTTTTAAACTAGGTATTTATTATTTTATTAATATTTTCATTTTTCAAGTTATTTATTTTTATTTTTTATATAAATGGTGATGAAAAATCTTATGTACTACCAAATAACTTGGAAATGTAATACCTACTTTATTCCATAGACGTTTTTGTTCTTATAGCCATTAAAAAATATAAAAATATAATTTATTTTTGTAGACGTTTTTAAGTACAAATCTCTAAGTTGATGAAAAATTGGATATTCAAATGAAAAATAACGATTTTGGTTATTATGTTGCACCTAATTCGTAGAATGTTTTTAACATTTCSCAACTACGTATATTATTAACTATAAACTATATTCTCAAAATATTTATACTGATTTTACGCGAGATATAGGTACCACGAACTCATTCACATGTCATACTATCGCACTATTTCAACTTATATCTACAGTGTCAACTTACCTAATAGTTATAYTTATACCTAAAGGCTAATTGATAACGTTAAAATAATATCCTACGTATATCTTGTTTTTACAGATCAATAGTATTTGTCCACTATTGTTGATGATTAGAAAAAAAAACAATGCATAATAATGGCCATTATACGTATTATTTATGGCAAAAATGAGTGCAACCTACGGGGTCAGTGGAGTATCACTAATATAAAAGTAGAAAATATCTTTAGAAATACATATATGAGTATGATAGACTGTTATTGCTGAGAATCATATTTTTCTCATTGAATTCAAATTCAACACATCTATTACAGTGACCTACACTCGAAGTATACTTGACGACTATTATACAGAAAAGTGGGTTATCTAGTTTGAATAGTGTATTACATTTGTAAATGCACTATATGTACGTAAAAACCTATTATTAAACATTTAAGTATAAACGTATAGGTACGATAATATTATACGTATAAGTTATGACCACGTGGTAAAAATTACTATAGGTGAATTAAAATTATTTCAGTATAAAAGTCTTACTTTTCAATAAATTTCTTGTTGAGATTTCTCAGCAATCACATTACTGAATTTATGTTTCTTGTATCTTTTTTAGATATCACTATTATCAATTACTGATGTTTACTACTTTTAGATGTTTTGAGTTTGAGTGTTAAGTTGCGTAAACCGTCGTCACACACGACTACACGAGTACATGGCACATATAATAATATAAACAATATTGTGCCATTTCAAGGTCATTTTTATCGTGTGTATTAGACCATTAACCATTATTGTTCAATGATAAAATTGGATAACGGAGCTATAATTGGCTACCTGCCTACCTATTTTTATTATAGAAAAATAAAACTTTATAATACAAATAGTTCATAATATGATATATCTATTATCTACCTTAATACTTKTTATTTCGTGAAATAAATCAAATCAATGTTAATATTACTTAATAKATTCTAAAACCATAGAATTTAATGTTTTCAACTGCTAACAGTAAGCAGTAATCCATCAGTAGTATATACAATAACCATTAAAACCATCCTGCGGGGCTGTGGATCAATAACACTATAACCAATGCATTTGTTGTGTTAATATAGTGATAAAACGATATAATAAATCATTACAATTAAATGTAGTGTTTCAAAAAATAACATAAATCACTGCAATCAGTATTGTTAATGGTCCTTGAAAACTTATTACAACTCAGAGCAAATATATTGTCAATAACTATAACCGGTTGATCTATATAGACCTGTGCACTAGTGAACTTAAATCGATGGCACGCGATCAGACGTACAAATTAAAGCGATCTTCAGACAGAAGCAAATACACGAAAGATAATAATTTTAGAGAAACGATAGTTATCAATTATTTCGACAGTTCTTGGGTYGGAGTGTACCTTCAGGATCAGTGATGAAATGCTAATATTTTGTTCTCCGGTTATTTTAAAGCACAACCCAGGGGACCCATTTGCAGGGATACCGCCCCACCATTAAACGGTTTGGCAATATTCCCGAAGGCTCGGCTATAATAATTGCAATTCTGATGGAACCACCGTGATAGTTTATTGGCCCGTAGCAGTTTATTATGTGTAGAGGTGTTTTTAACCAGTAGCAATGAAAATATAATGGTTATCAAAAGAAAAAATAAACATTTTCTATTCGCAACATTATTTTATATATCGCGAGGCGATGATATTATATACCGTACAATCACTGATTCCAAGAAATAGAGTTTTTCGTGTTGTAAAAATGATTTCAGATTTGTGACAATCGAAGTAACTATTACACACGACTATTTCAACTAATCGGAATTATTATCGGCGGATAAAATTTTAAATCTAGTGTAACAAATAAGTACATTTTAAATTGTCATTTGTGATAGTGATAGACAATAATAATTATTAAAAATCAGTAGAATTATATCATTGTCCTAAAAGTACCTATATGAATAATTTAGAAGAACATTTTTGTACTACAAAAAAACAGTTATTATTTTGGCATAGTTGTATACTAAAAATTATTAATAATTCATAAACAATAATTATTTGTTTTAAATTATAAAAATTAAACACTAACACTTAATATTAATATCATTCGATATATAAATTGTATAATATTTAGTAAAATAATTTTTCTTATCTAATGATYTATGCAGTCGTACTTCTATAAGTTTATGTGCATAAATAAATTAATATACACATATTTAAATTACTATAGATTATATACTTCAACAATAGGTATACCTTTAAAGAATAATAAATTTCTTTTAATGAAAAAAAGTAATAATAATATTTATTTAAATTTTAGACAAAACTTTTTTTAATTCCAAACAGTTTTTAATTATCAACACAATTATTAAAAATTCGATATTAAAATAATAACATTAATTAGAATAAATTATTAAAACAGTAATGTATTATCTTCATTTGGTAATAACGATTTATATTGGTTATATTTCGCCATCTGCTGTTTTTTAATTAATTATTTAATTTTTTTTGTGGAATATATTATTATCTTTTATGTTCCTGGAACTTCAATGTATGATATGATAGAAAATTATAAAAGTAATATAATAATTCTAAACGTGTTAAAGGTCTTGTAATTTAATTCGTTTGTTCTATAGAATTTTAACCATTTATTTTTTTTTTAGTAGCTAGATATCTATTTTTGAATATAAAATTTGACAAGGTAGTCATTATTTTACTAAAAAAAAATAATCTGTAAATGTGCTATAGTTTATTGGACTGATAAATGTGGACCTCAATATTTTTCTTTATAATTATTATTTTTATAAAAGTAATTTATTTAAAAAAACATGTTAAAAATACATAGGTATTAACTAATCTAAAATTGAATCAAAAAGAAATATCAGTGAGAATGGAACATTTGTTTCAAAAGTATTACACAGCTTTATTCGAAACACGTCTCATTTTTTTTCAATGTATATATTATATAATCACGATTGTGATTTCCATTGATACCTTTTTGTGTGTACATTGATGTTTCTTCATTAATTTATATATCCAAGTTTAGCATGAAATAAAATTTTTTAGTTATAACATATTTTAAAGTAAACAGAAAAGTRTTATATGGTATGTGATATGTAATGAACGTAATTATTTTAGCTGTTTGGTATATTTTATTGTTATGTTTGTTTGACCTATATATTAAAYAAATTAAATAATTGGTTTGCAACATGTATCAGATAATCCAAATATACTAGTGATCAAACTTAAAGTACATTTTAAAACGAAGGAAATGGGATCGTAATCGCAATTTGGTTCACCAATATTACCATAATCTTCCGTAGTAGTTTCAAATTGTTCTACTTCCGACAATCGAGTCGTTACATCGTATTTTGTCGCTTCTGTATTTGTGTTTGGTCCATTTGAAGGCATTTTAGGTTGTTGAGGTATTGATGGCACGGGATACATTGTAGGTGGCTGCGGTATTGAAGGTGTGGGCAAAGATGGCAAAGACGGTATTGCAGATGGCATTGAGGGTATAGAAGGCATTGAAGGCATAGAAGGTATTGACGGCAATGTAGGCATATCAGGCAATGAACGAACGGTCCTAATCTCTTCATCATTGGGTGGAGGACGATAAGTTCCTTCAGGAGGTTGTTCTTCAACCAGTTCAAGTGATCTTTTCACTTTGTTCGTGGAATCTTCATTCGAAAACTCTTGTTCCGGTTCATCATAATAATCATAATCTGTTGGTCTTTTTTCSTTTTGTATTTCAATGGAAATACTATTCGTTTCACTATCATTCATTTTTTTCACATCTTCGTTATAATATGACCACAGAATGTAAGTATATTTACTAAAATACGCCATTACTGAAGAATTGTCCATGGTTTTACTTTCAAAACAAATCCAATCATTTGATGAGCATTTTGGCAAATCTGTTAATAAATCGTTTTTAATATTATTCAGAAATTACTCTGTATGGTTAATAATGAAATAAATAATAATATTCAGGAATTTATACAATTGTATCGAATTTTTAATTTTATTAGGTTGTGAATTTCATTTGAACATCAATTGATACTGGTAATATTTCCCAAAAAATTTACTTTTATTTCTTCTATTATAATTAAGTGGTTTAAATTAAAGTTGACTGATGCGCAAAAAGTAATTTAGATAATAGGATCAAACGACGAATGACAAAACTGGTTAAAAATATCGTAAATAACAAACACAAATGTCTCCTTGGAGTAATATTAAAATGTGAATGCTCTTTTAAAATTATGTATAGTTACTGTAGCTATTAGTACTTACCTACACTCAAACTTTGTTTGGGTCTTCCGATTACTTTGGAATAAGTAAAGTTCGACATTTGACATACCTGTAATATAGAAATTATAACCAACATTAATTTCGCTAATTTTTCTAATAAACTTTAGAAAAATCGTTTTCCTTCATTTTAAATTAAACTGTTATTAGGTAAATTGTGTACGATAATATAAGAAAAAATTATCTAATAAAAAATCTATTTAAATGGTTATAAAATAAAATGATGTTCAAAATAAAACATAATACATACTTAATTCAACATATAAATATAAAATATTCAAAATATTACAGCTTAAAATAAATAAATAAAACATCTTTCTATAATATATTATAATATTATGTTCAATAATCAATAATTWCTATTCGTGTAATGATCATAGATTATGTTTACTTATACGTATTGTTTATCAGTTATGGAGCTGTACACAGAGTGATTGACCAAACATGTTCACTCTTTCTCTTTTCTTCAATAATGCAGTTATTCAAAATCTGGTTTTTGGAATTTTAAAATACTTAATGACTTTTTTAAATTCTTAAGATTTGTTGTACTATATTGCACTCCTTAGGGAGTGTCCTGAGGATRAGATACAAACTTTTGTTTTTCAAATGAAACCCCACATTTATACTGAAAATTATTCAAAGAATAATTTTGAAATACTCTCACGTGTCATAATCAAAATTCAAACAGGTAGTTTTTGAGTTATTTAACTTCAAGTACAGAAAGAAAATGAGTGATAAGGAATAATATCCTGATAACGGATTTGGATGATATAGTTGATATAGGGGCATTGGACAATTTAAAATGTTAGTAATTCATATTAATGTATCAATATTTATTTATTTATTAACATCGTCTAAGTATAATAAATAATATATCCAATATTACATCTGATCTAAATTTATATTTTTGTAAAACCATTATTCTTACCTAGTATAGATATATCATTAACTGAGAAAGTACTCATTTGAATGTTTAATAAGGTACAAACATTTTTCAAAATAATGATCAAGTAAACTATGTATAGAAAAAATGTGGTTTTCATTTAAAAGAAATTTGTATTGTCACAGGATACTCCTTCAGTTGTACAAAAATCTCAAGATGATGGTCTTAAATTATACATGAAAATTCGAAAATCAGAATTTGAATAACTATATGATTAATTGCGAAATATGCGTTGTTGGTGAATGGCCCTTTATGTATGAAAAAAATAAGAAAGTACCTACCTATAAATGTATGAAATAATATTATTTATTTGRAAATCACTTTAAATAGAGTGAAGAACGTATAGGCACCTTCGCATATCAATTAATCGATAGTATTTAATTTATTTAGCATAAGAGTAAATTTATTATAAGTAATTGTGAACATAAACGAATTTGATAATTTATAGACGTATTATAAATTGTGGGAAACGACAACCAGGATTTTCTGAGAAAACCCTTGGTGTGTAATTGCGAATTTAAGGACTCGCCAATCATGTGTCTCGTGGGAATTCATGACGAATTACGGATGTTATATGTGTTTGAACAACGATTTGGAGAGCAATCGAAACGACGTAGCAAAATCGACAAAACGACGTTACAATATGGTCGGCAATTTTAAAATACTCGTAGATAGCTACAATTAAAATCTAATGTCCTATAAAATTGACACACACACACATGTTTTCATTCGAAAGACGGAAAAACAAAAACGTCGGCTTATATTTGTAGGTGAAATTGTACAACAAGAAAGTGTTATGGGCCCCATTAGATGTTTCTTATCAAAACGCTTTTGTAACATGAGCAAAATATATTACATTGACAGTCTGTAAAAAAACTTTTAATTTAAACGTTTAACTTTTAATAATAAATATGAATTAATGGCAATACATATAGATTAGATATCGACAAAAATAATGCATAAATAATTATTTCAATTTATTATAGTTATGTTACATTSAATTTACATATTATTTTTGTTTAACACAATATTAATATTAAAACTTATGAGCATTAAATAAGACATTCATTATTTTATAGTGCACATTAATAAATATACCATACAAGCATTACCTAGTAACTTTGAGACATAACCTACAACTCACTCGATTGATAAACACACAATTAACATTGTAATGCTACAGAATAAAACCAATTCTAGTATAATATATTTTAAATGKGACGCGGCGTAGTGCTTTCAGTCGCAAAACGTGTCTGAGTATCAGCTCTAGCCAGTGTCATTAGTTCCCGGATGGATGACCACCCGGGTTCTTAGTGGCAAATACTTGCCACCCATATACCTGTTTGAACCAACCATACCAACCATATACCAATCGTACAAACTATAATCTCTATAAGAGAAAAACAGGCTGATGGCCTTAGATGTTTAACTTAAATAATATATATTTATATATTTTAAATAAAACAAAATATGCTAGTACTAAAGTTTTTACTGTTTTCATTTATACACTACAACTCAATTATGTTTAGAAAAATATAAAATATATTAGTTTAAAAATTATTATTTAGTTAGGAGCGTTTAAAGTATGATTGATAATGTTCCCGATTTTAATTTTTTTGTGGATTCTTAACTGTAATAAATATTTATATGATATTATACAAAACTAGTTTGCAACAAATTATGATCACACACATTTTGGAGCAAATATATTGATTGATAAAAATTGTAATTAAACATAAAGTATCTGATTTGGGTACATGTTTTCGAAAATCAAGTTTTAGAATGACAAGATTTATAAAATCTATATTTTAGAATATGAAACTTTTAGAAAATCTGTGTTTTAGAAAATAAAATAAAATAAATAAAATATACA